TGGCTCTATTATTGACACATGAACACCGCGGTAACGCCTTCGTAATATGACAGCAAATATGCGATACGGCTTCAGCTCGGTGCATGCGGACAATAAAGTAATTTCTTTCCTGGAGCTGTTATCGAGTGAGTTATCGTAACTACATGGTTTTAATACTGACAGCCGGGCTCGACGCAAAGAGTAGCTCCTTTTGCAGTGATCACAAACAAGCTAGCAGTAATATGTAGCCTCTTACAGCCAGTCTTGGCATTCAACAGATAACCTCTAAAGCCTCAAGAAGGGCTTTTTCTTACCTCTCCAAGCTGGGTCCTCACTCTAATTTCCTGCTTTGGAGCCTGCTTGTTTTTCTTCCGTACCGAGAGCTCCTTATTCCGCCCTCTGTTGCTTTCTGAGGGTGAGGACTTGACCATTTACAGAGCGCAGAGGCTACTCCTCTGGAGAGTTTTTTTTTTAAACCAGCGAGCGAAGAGCAGCGTCGCGCGGAGAGAGCGAGCAGGAGGAGACGGTGACGTATTACGCAAGCAAACTGTTCAGGCGCGTGAAGAAAATTAAGCATCTAGTTCATGTCTAGTCCACGAGTCTCTGGGGCAGTAGGCTGAAAGATTTTACACGTTTTGCTTTTGCTATGCTGCTGCAGAATCAAATAAATACGAAGCAGCAAAAGAGGAAATATTAAGTCAAAAGGTTTGCACGCGGTATGTGCGTTTCACTGTAGGGGGCAGCATTGAGCTTATAGGATGAGTCCCAACAAACTGCAGTTGTTGGACATGTCGCTAACAGGGAGAAATCATTTTGGATATACAGTGGATATACGTTTTGAGCCACTCCTTATTTAACAAATAACCTCTATATTTTAGGATAGATGGTAGGTTCTTAGGGGGGTCGCAGTTATGATCGATATATTGGTATCGATCGAGCCACCAATTTTTTGTTATTATTGGATTGATGCTAGTGCGATATTATCCATATTTTGTTTCTTTTTAATATTTTCTTGGGGCCATTTTGCCTTTATTTGACTTGTAGCGATAGTGGAGACAGACAGAAAGCTGGGGGGGGGGCGGAGGTGACACGCAGCAAAGGGTCACAGGTCAGATTCAAACCTGGGCCACTGCCTTCTGGCCTGCAGCCATGCTCGCCCAGTGAGCTAACCTGAAACATTTCTGTCTTTTAACTTTAGCATGCAGTTGTGTGAATTAATTCTTTATTTATTTATTTATTTATTTTTTACTATAAATGGTTATGGTTTTGTCCACTCCTTTCATTTTCATCCCGCCGGGTGGCAAGGGGTAAAATCGGAAGAGTGATGTAAACATTCCTTTACTGGGATTCCTGTATGATAATCCTATTATTGTCCCCCCCAAAATGAATAAAAACACGTGGAAGCAGGCTTTAACTTAGTCTCTGAACTCTAACCAATAAGACAACAGGCAGATGGATACATGTCTTTTATGGCTATCATTCAATTTTATTCGAATTGTATGGGAATGCCAAAAGAAGTAGCGAGTCAAGTATCCGCACCCAGTCCCTACCACGCAGGCGCAGTGGTGTGAGTTCGACTACTTCCTGGCGTCTCGCGAGTAGCCCGGGCTCTGCTGACGTTGAAGGTTAAAAACTTCAAGTTTCAGTCTTGAGTGTGCAGGTTTTCTGTTTTTAAAGTGAGATGCAGTCAGCGGGAAAACTCATGAAGGTTTTCATAACGAGGCGCATCCCGCAAGAGGGGCTGAAGATCCTGTCAGCGGCTGGAGTGTACGAAGCTTTTTTTTGTGTGTGAATGAACAGCAAGCTGTCCTTAACAGTGTTGTGCAGATCGGCTCATGCACGCTGTGATTCATGTTTATACACTTGTGTTGCCACACCATTACTCGCAGTTTTCTTTGCTTGCACAAGCTAGCCTACACGTTTGAATGACATGCTACTTCATGCATCTCGTTCTTGTCGTGTCTCGTTGGAAGCAGGTGTGAGGCGTCTCAGTGGGACTCCGATGAGCCTGTTCCGAGGGCAGAGCTTCTCAAAGGTATTCAGGGGGCTCACGGTCTTCTGTGCCTGCTGTCGGACAAGATCGATGCTGAGGTCCTGGAGGCTGCAGGTACGCACTGCCCTCAGGTGGTAGGGTGACCAGATCTAAGACTAAATAAACAGTATGAGTGTGGGTGATTTTTAATAACGCTTTTGATATATTTATCACCAGAAATAATAGTTTTTCCTATCTCCCTCTTTCTGCTAATCACCTCATGTGTGTTTTCCTAACTTTCATTGCCTGAGGGACACACTGGAATGGACGGGAGGCCAACTTTAACATGGGAGGGCGGGGGGTTAGACTCCAACACGCTATACAAGACTCCAACACGCTATACAAGATTACAACCATACACTGTACACTCATAGAGAAATGTTTAAAAAAGTTAAAACTAGTTGCTCAAGCACCTGTTTTTGGTTTCAAAGGGTTGCTGGAAGTCTGAGCTGGAAAGGTCTGTCCATTCAGCCACCTCAGCCATGCTTTGTTACCACAACTGCTGCAGAAGCAGTAAACTACTTTAAACCATGTGCATGAGTTAGTGTAATCTGTAGTTCAAGTGTATCAGTAGAATTCAGCTGAGGGGGGACAGTGACTTTATTTATCAGGCCTGAACCCCTTAGGTCTGTCCATAATCACTGTTAATCATTCAGCTTGTATTGTCTAGATGAAGATGGCCATTTTGTTGCTTTTAACCTCGGGATTTGATTACATTTATTTGGCAGCTTCGTGACTGCTTAGCTGTTTTGTCTTTGATTTCAGGGCCGAACTTGAAAGTGATCAGCACGCTGTCTGTGGGATTCGACCACCTAGCCATCGATGAGATCAAAAAACGGTGAACCCACTGAACTTCACTTTTAACCAATAACAGGACACACTATATGCCTTCTCAGTTATACCTATGTTTTGTTTTCAACAGTGGTATTCGTGTTGGATACACCCCGGATGTCCTGACTGATGCCACAGCGGAGCTGACTGTGGCTCTGCTGCTGGCCACCGCTCGCAGATTACCAGAGGGAGTGGAGGAGGTGAAAAAGTCAGTCTCACCTGGTTACACATTTATCCTAAAGAGTGAAAATCGTGTTATTGTTTCTCTAACCTTTCAGCTCAAATTGCTGATATTAGTTATACAGTGATCACACTTTTTCTTCCCGTAAGTGGTGGCTGGAGCTCATGGAAACCTCTCTGGCTGTGTGGTTACGGTCTTTCTGGCAGCACTGTAGGAGTCATTGGACTGGGACGCATAGGTTGACTTTACTAGCTTCATAACCATATCTAATTTGCAAAGTCTGATCAGATTTTCCTCCTAGCATTTAAGACTTGATGGTAGTTGAATAACTGCTTGTGTTCGTGTGCAGGCATGGCCATAGCTCAGAGACTCATGCCATTCGGAGTAAAGAGACTTCTGTACTCTGGGAGAACAGCCAAGCCGCACGCTGCTGAAGTGAATGGAGAGTTTGGTAAGGAATGAATAGAGAAATGCACACAGCGAGAGGGGGATGAGAAAGCACAGCAGGGTAGAAAGGGGAGGGCAGTAGTTGTAAACCTAATTTAACCCTGTTTCCAAAGGCATGTGGACACAAAATGTAAATTATACAGAATGCAATGTGTTGCACATCAGTTAAACCCCACATTTAACTGTAAATGGCTGGATTGAAACAAAGAAACTGCAGTGAAGATGGCATCTGAGCTCTTGTGCAAATTTACACACAAGGCCTGTCCAAAGGTTTTATTCCTGGCAATTAATGAGATAGATTTAATACATGGTAGATTTAATGGATGGATTTATGGAATAGAATAGAATAGAAAAATAAAGATCAAATCACAGTACTCTCAAGTTGCTGAAGGGATCATCACTAATACATCCAAGCCTTGGTATTTCCATCATCTTTAGATGTGACAATAAGTGTAACATCTTTACTTCTACTGCAGATTTCTGTCTGTGATAAATGCAGTGCTGCCCAAGGGCCCAGAGACACGATTATTGTACTTTTAATGTTTTGTATGTAGTGTTTACAGAGTGATGAACCTCTCTGTCTTAGTTTTACTCACATCCTCTTTTTATACCCAGTCAGGCCTTTTGTTCCTCTCCTTTTAAAGGCGATGCTGGCACTGGAAGCAAACACTTTACAAAAAACAGGATATGTGTTCTCATATAGGGCTTAGAAAATTGCTTTATATCCTTATTTACATTGTACATAACAATTTTTGGAGGAGTACATTCACATTTATATTCCAACAAACTGGGTTTTGGGAAAGACGTTCATTCAAAACAATAATGAAGTGATGTGGATGAAAAGAATAAGTCACGGTCGGGTACATGATCAGTGTTGGCTTCATAGTTTCATAGTGGATATTTTATTGATTGTTAATCTACGTGTTTGTCCTGTGTCACCTCTTCTGTTGATCAGTTCCCCTGGACACACTTGTGTCTGAGAGCGACTTCATTGTTGTTTCCTGCTCCCTGACACCAGAAACCCAGGGCTTGTGCGACAAGAGTTTCTTCAGCAAGATGAAACCCACCGCAGTCTTCATCAATACTAGCAGGTAGACCAGTGTGTCTAAAGGGGGTAGAGGATCGGACTGCGACAATAATCTGTGCCCTTGTACTTTTTTAATAACAATAAATCCCCATCATCATACAGTGAATTATTTGATTTAGGGGGGCTGTTGTGAATCAGGAGCATCTATATGAGGCACTGAGCAGTGGACAGATAGCCGCAGCTGGACTGGATGTCACAACACCTGAGCCACTTCCAACAAACCACCAGCTTCTCACGCTAAAGAACTGCGGTGAGCAGAAAGTTTGTTCCCTGCGTAGATGTCTGCTTCTGACCTCTAATGTTTAATTTACTGTTTAAAAAAATATTTTCTGTCCCGTTTTTATCCCATGCAGTGGTGTTACCTCACATTGGCAGTGCCACGTACTCCACGAGAGGCGTCATGTCGGCGTTGGCAGCGCGAAACCTGCTGGGTGGTCTGCAGGGCACAGACATGCCCAGTGAACTCACCCTCTAAGAGCTTCAAAGTGAGCCGCTGTGCCTCTTCTGCTAACAGCAGAAAACAATAATGAAGTGATGTGGATGAAAAGAATAGTAAGAATGTAGTTCAGTCACGGTTGGGTACATGATCAGTGTTGGCTTCATAGTTTCACTTTAATCTGTCATTTTTGACACTGATAGCACTTGTTATATTCATTGTGCATTTTTGAGGAAGGAAATGATTGGTGCATTTTTGTGAAATATATTCAAGTACTTTAAAAATGGCCTAAATAACAAACCATCGGCCCTTGTTAACCCTAAAACTTCTCAAAATACACTATTATTAAAACTCATCTACCCCATTTTAAAATGCAATATTTACCATGATGAACTTCCTTATCTGAACTTTCTCTGCTAATACTTCATGTCTCCCGTTACTGAAACAGCATAACACTCCAGTTTTTGTAATGAAATCTGATTTTTCTGAAGAATAAAAAGCCAACTTTTATGCGCAAAAGTGTGTAATTTTGTATTATCTCATGTTAAAAAATAGATTAGTGATCTATAAAAATGACCAAATGAATAATTTATTCTCATTAACTTGTAGCACAGCAGCAATTTAAACCATCATCAGTGCATTTGCATCAGTTTGGATACATTTTATAGACTTAATTTAATTAAATAGTAATAAATAACAGTCCATATTTAGAGCAAAGTGCCTGCCAAAGACTGGTCATCTTTCCAGTTTAAGCAGGTGTTCTTCGAGTGCTTATACAGGTGGGAGGACTGGCTGAAGCGCTTGCCACACTTGGGACAGGGGTAGGGCTTTTCTCCTGTGTGGACACGAATATGCTTCTTGCAGTCAGTCAAGTTCATGAAGGTTTTACAGCAGATTTTGCAGGCATATTTTTTCTCCCCTTCCACCAGTAGCACGTGGTCCTCAGCAGCTGCTTTCTTGCACTTGGAGAGAACATCCTCTGAAGCTCTTGTCAGAGGTGGCCGATCGGCGACGTCCCCCCCAGAGCCATGGGAAAGCTCTGTGCCAGCTTCTGATCCAGGTTGCGTTTTGGGGGCGATTCGACGGAAGGTTGTTGCTCCTGAGCTTTTCCCTGCCCTCGAGGGTTGGACGACAGGGGCTCCCACACTGAGTGGTGGTCTGACGGTGCTCAGGAACCCTGTTAGAGAGCTCTGGGTGGGCTGGAGGATGATGGTGTCACTAAATCCTGGGCTCTGAGTTGGGAGAAGCTGCTGCAAGGGGACCGAGGTGACCGGAAAGATAAGTGAAGATGAAGAGTCTGAAGACTGAGCAGTAGAGGTGTTTGCCTCGTCTGACTTTTGATCCTGCTCACTTGCATCTACCAGAGCTGGAGGAGCTACGCAGGCGGCGGCGGCGGCAGCTGTGGCAGCAGCCGTGAGGCTGGCTAGACTGTCATCTTCTTCCAGAGCTCCCATGACGCTTTCAGTGCCGGGATTGAGGAAGCAGGAAAAGGCCAGGTCTGACAGGCTGTCCAGGCCCTCACCATCCGCCGAGTCCTCATCCAAATCTCCAGTTTCTTCCTGCTCCTCGGTGCGAAGATCTGTGCACAGCTCTGACTGTAAAGAGCCAACATTACATGTTGCTGGGCTGGCTGCAGCCATCTTCTCGCCACTGAGTTGTGCATTCAAATTATCTGTGCAGGCTTCAAGTGGAGATGGAGGAGAATTACTGGTTAACAAATCTGGAGAATATGAGCTTAGATTTTCTTTTTTCACCTCAATCACTGCCATCTGAGGCTTGTCTCCCTCTTCCTCTCCCACCTTTACCTTGACCACACCGTCTCCATCTGTATGTTCACCCTTCTCCCACACACCTCCTATGCTGCTATCCGACTGGCTCGGCAGCTGGATTTCCTCTAATTCTCCCTTGGGTGCTTTGTACTTCTTCTCCTCATCATCACCTTGGTTTTCCCAGAGTGTGTCCGTGATCTGCAGGCAACCTGAAGACAACAGAGCTTCTCCTCTCTCCTCATGGCTCACACAGCTCCTGGTAACAATAGGCAAACACTCCTTATAGTTTTCTCCAGGAAGTCTGCAGGTTCTCTTCCTGTCACTGAGCCTGTCCTCGTGCAGCTTTCTCTTATGCCCTACTATCACCACACAGTCTTCATCCCCACCAGACTGACTCACCTCCTCTCCCATTTCCTCTTTATCGAGATCCTCTTCCAGGCCTGATCTGACCCGTTGCTGTGAACTGCCTGCTACCTGGGAAGATGGACTTTCCTGCTTCTGCTGCTGCACGGACCTCCAACCTTTAGGCGCAGAGGCAGGGAAGTTTTTCCTGGACAGGTGTATCTTGCAGGCCTTGACCACGGCGTTGAGGTGCAGGTGCGATGCCGCCAGTAACACATCCATCACATTGGAGGTCCCTAGGGACAGAGTGGAGGTGTAAATCATATCGAGCAGGGTGGAGAAAGACTCTGGGGTCACCACCTCCGGATCGAGCTCTATCACATTGGGACCATCTCGACACCTGTCAGTCCCTGAACCTCCAGCCTCATCTGCAGTGTCGCTGGAGGTGAGGAGAGCCCTGAAGTGAGAACTGCATGCTGCCAGGATGGAGCGGTGAGCCTGAAAGGTCTGACCTCCAACCACCACTACACAGTCACACAGCTGAGCTTGGAGGCGCTGGTGGTTGAGCTGCTTGAAAATATGCTGGAAGTGACTTGGAAAGTTCATCACGGCCGATGGAGCTGGTTATTAAACACTAAGGATGTCAGATTATCATCGAGAATCCATTGGGCCGGTCGATCGATAAGAAACCGAGCTTATCTCCTCATCCGCTGCGAACAGCCTCTTGGAGCACAGCTCCAGTGTTTAGCAGCGTTATTGTCTGATTCACCGGCTTTTCTAGAGATGCTCTGGAGTATGGGCGGGCCTGGTCCAACGGTAACACGGAGGAACGCGGAGGATCCCGCGTGCGCACAGCTGATGCTCTCCTCACCAAAACGAACCTCAAACTGCAGGCGTGATCACCCTTACGCGGTTGGTAAGCCACAGAGCTCACACACAATAGCCCGGTTTAGCGTCCATTGCTGACGCCTCCATCACTTGCAGTCTCACTAGTCCGCAGACTTACGTAGCAGCGCCCCCACATGGTACGATATAGGAAGTGCGGGCACAAACCAGCCAAAATATTTGATCACAAATTTGTTTTTGTTTTTAAATTGTAGCAACAACACAGCAGTAATTTATCTTCAGGGAGCCAGAAATAGTTGTATATTATCTATAGTTTTATGCTACATACATATTAGTGCTACTAATACGTGCTGTGTATTAAGTATATTTCTCAAATATTAGTTGCTGAAGAAACACTTTTACACTGGCAACATAAACATGGATTGACTTTATTATGACATCTGGAAGAAACTATTAAAGACAAAACATGTATAAACAAAGAGTGACAATGTGTTTTAATAATAATAGTTAAAAAAAGAAAAAAGTTTACAAAGTGAAACAAAACTGAATGTGTGTGAGCCGGTTTCTCCACTGCAGTGATGGACAAACGCTGGTAATTTTCCGCTGTGATTTTGTAATGGAACCAGCCGTCTGCTTCTGGAGATCCATGCCGTCTCTGATGCAATCAGCTCTCTGTGAATGGATGGAGGAGGAGGAGACCAGTTGCTCCGCTCATATGCTGTCCAGCTTCTTTAACACATACGGCGCTGTAAACACAGACAAACGTCATATTAGCTCCACCAGCACCAGTCCAAATAGATACACAGCTCTCAGGTACAGATGAACAGACACGGTCTTACCTGCTACAGGTAAAGAAATTCTTATAGGAAGAGAACAGGAAAGACAGAAGCACTCACCAACACTAACATATACAGCATTGTGCACAAGTATTGAGTGACTAATCCAAATTTGGCATTTTGTGTTCAAATAATTGTCAGTATTTACAGAGGAGGTCAGGAGCTACACAAGTGACATCTGTAAAACACGGTGGAGGCTTTCAAACTCATTAGAATTGAACAAACTGTGTTTTTCTGTTATATACCCCGTTTCTATGTATGTTTCCACATGTTTCATTAAATCACTGCACAATTTCCCCCATTTGCCTAGCAATACATAAAGAATAAATGATGACCCTACACTTTTCCACAGTACTGTGTATCAAGCTCAGTACTCCCTGGCACGTGAGCTGTATGTGATTTATAAATACTGTAAACCACAACATAATATACCTGATTGGGGCAACATTTTGATGTGCTCGGGTTACTTCACATGCATGATTATTACAAAGAGAAGGTGAGCAAATGACACCGTTTACTGATAATGAGCTGCATTAAATACCCGTGAGCGGTCTACTCAGCTAACTTTCAATGTCATCTGACGCTACTCACTGGCTCTAAGCAGAGCGACGTAAATAAGGAAGTTTCGTAAAGACAAGATGACATCTTGTCGCATTTTCTTCTTCATCTCCTCTGGGTCCATTTTGGGTCCCAGTCCTTCCAGTTTAAACATTGCTGCTGTAATTCTACTCGGTCCGGTTCGCCTGAAAAATTCACAGTTTCAGGCGCATGGACGAATTAGCTAAACCGGAAATACGCAACACCGGAAATTACGACGAAATACGGTGCCTACACAGGGACAAACCATACAAAGGAAGCAGAATGCGAACGTGTATAGTGGCGCCTTTATTAGACTTTAGCAGTTTTAACGTATATTTAGTTAAAATTGGAATAGTTTAGTTATTTTAGTTATTTCTAATTATGTTTTATTTATTATATTATTCTTATGTATGCTCTGCTGGATACTTAAAATAGTCTTATCCAGTGTAATGCAGAAGAATTAATACTCCTCAGGACATTGTCTTTCTGCTAAAACATAATAGAATCATGTTAAGAAAAGATAATAATAATAATAATAATAATAATAATAATAATAATAATAATAATAATAATAATAATAATGTTGGTTCCTCGGGTGTGGTCCACAAGGGTCAATTTGACCCTGTTTTTCGGTGATCAGCTTTAAAAACATTTAATTTAGGAAGTGTATAGATCTTTTTGAGAGTGGCAGCAGCACAGGCTCCGCTTTGGAACCATTGTTATTTAACTGAGTGATTATGTGTATGAGGGGTACAGATGCCAGGCAAAGTTGTAATTAACTAAATTACCCGAGGCCAGCTGAAATAGCCTACAATAAATCGGGAACCCTTTGGAAACCCGGCCGTCTGGGGCCCCTGGCAAATTTCCTGTATAGCACAGCAGTCTATCCGTGCGTGTGGGCTGCTTTTAAAATGAATATTATTTCAACACACACACACACACACACACACACACACACACACACACACAC